ATCGTAAAGCTTCTCTGATTGGTTTGGAGAAGATGCGGATGGCTGTACATCGTCTACGGTTATAGCTTCGGCTTGGTTTTTCGCTGCTTGGGCATATGATTTCCCTGGTATTGTTGGGTTAACGGGTGTAGTTGCTGGAGTTAACGGAGTTGTTGTCTGGGTGAGGCAAATGTCCGCTCTCTGATCACCCTTTATAGTTCCCTGGGTGGTTGTCTTCGCACAGTGCACATTTTGCTGGTGTCTCTGGTGATTTGCTGCACTCAGCTGAAAATGCTTTTGCCCGCATTTCATGCAGCGCGGCTGCTTGGAACAGTAGTTATTCGTGTGTCCATAGCATTGGCACCGAAGGCACTGCAGTACTTCCCTTCTCTTAATCGGTGCTTCGAAGGATATTTTTTGATGCAGCAGAAACACAACATTATATATATCCAAATAACATGGGAAGTTGTTTGCTTGAATCTCTGTCACTTATGTTCCGTACAGTGTGGCCAAAAGACTTAATTTCCTCTTTTATGTCCTCGGTATTGCATGAGGAGCGTTTAGTTTTCTTCTGGTAGAAGTGGCATGGGATGTGTTTATCTTTGATTAGCACGCTAATTCTTTCAAAGTCATTGGTACCGCTCGCTTGTACCTTCACCTGTTCTGCCCAACCAATTTGAGCGTGTACGCATTCTTCCCGACGGTATCAAAGTCCTTGATTAGTTTGTTAATGTCGTCCACGTCTGGGATGAAACTGGTTTTGGTACGGTTGGATTATTAATTGGTGTGTCTTTCGGCTGGGACTCTTCCGAGCCGTTTGGCAGACTGGCTAAAACAGAATACGGGTTATTCACTAGTAGTCCCGTTGGGTCATTACCGCTATTTTTATTTTGTTGTTTTTTTGTTATTGCTGGTGCTGTTGTTGTTGGTGCTGTTGTTGTTGCTGCTGCTGCAAAAGCAATTTTCCCTGTCCTCTGAGCAAGTCTCTAAGCTGGTAATTTTTGCTCTGTATTCTACCAGCTCAGCATGGACTCTGTTTAGTTCTGTGTTGCTGCTGCTTGTACTGCAACTCTCCGCATTCACTTGCTTTGCTTGGATGGTAACGTTTTGCCGCGTGTTTATTTTTTTGGTCCCCTGAATTGGTATATTTATTTCAGTTTTTTCTTGGGTCTCTTCCTTTTTCTCCTGGCTTGGGTGGAACGTACTCCTCGCCGTCCGAAGAATCTTTGTCCGCCATTCTGGTTGGTACTACTATTTTTTGTTCTCACCCACTATTGTTTGTTTACAACTGTACACAGGAAAACTGATTATCACAATTTAATTTGAATAACCTAAGACGGAGCACCGAACACACGTCTTATCATTTCAGCGTCTCAAACTGAACTGTTACAATGAGTATTAAATTTATTTCATATATTGGGTTGTTACATAAGTCCGTTCGTATCTTCAACCTTTTTTTCAAAAAGAACTACATTCTAAAAAAGGACTCAAACGTTCGTGCAATTTCATTATGCCATCTCCAGATGTCAAGGTGAATTTTGATGTCATCCAAATATTCCATTTTTGTTTTGTTAAAGTCATTTTGTAGAGAGCGAAACAAATGGTAGTCGGACGGTGCGAAGTCTGTGATTACAGATGTTTGAAGTCTAGCATTGTCATGTTGAAAACATATTCGTCATTTATTATGAAGATCAAGTTGTTTACAGTACTTGACCGAATTAATAGTTTGATTATTCGGTAGCAGCTCATAATAGACAACACCCTTGAAATCCTACTAAATGTACATCTTTTTCATTGAAACTAGGCTAATCTTTGGTGATGTCTGGGGAGCACAATCTTTTTTAGACCAAGACATACAGTGCACAACATTATTGTAGAGTATCCATTTTTCATCTAAAGTAAACAAATTGTGGAGAAAAGGTTGTTACTGGTTTCTCTTAATAAGCTGATCATAAACGAGCATACGCTGCGTTCAATCAGATCATATGGAACCCACACATTAGAACGATTGACGTAACCATCAGCATTGATATGTCTTTGGACTAACTGTTACATGCGACACATTGATTATGTCCGCTATCTCACGCAATGTAAAATGTGGATTTTCGATCACCGCAGATTATATTGACCGTGTCAGTTGTTATAGGCCGTCTGGAGCGCTTCAATTTGTAAGCTCAAACTCACCGCGCCTGACCTGTGGATACCACTTTTATACGACGCGATAGGTAGATGCAGATGCCCACTAGATATCGCATATCTTTTTAGCCGCTTGAGTTGCGTTTTTTCTTTTCGAAAATAATTCAGCATAAAATGCCAAAAATTCTCATTTTGTTTCTTCTATTTCACCCTACACAAGGTCACAAACTAGATAGCTGCAATAAAATGTAGCCACAACTGTACACTACAATCAAAAATCTCCTCACACCTAACTATTCACCGACCACTGGACCACAACCCAATATAATATTTTTGATGATTTCTAGTATATTAATTAACTATAATATAAAATGTGTACAATCAATTATAAATTATTATTAACTTAAATAATTGATATTACCGTTAACGTATTAAATCCATTTTCTGTACAAATTGTTACAAAAAAACTAACTAATTATTTTAACGTAATTATTTATGTGTTATTAAAATAAGATAATTTTGTATGGAACTATTACAAAAAACGATAGCGGATTCTATTGTAGTGAGAATTTTTTTCGAATGGCACAAGTAGCGCGCTTAGTTATATAGCGAGTGCAGTGGTGATTTAAAGATAGCAATTAGTGCTGGTGTGTGGCAAAGGAGATTATTGCTTTGAGACGCTCTGTTTCACCGGCGTCGAGAGTCGATGGTTTTGGGTTGCCCTTCACTCTTTCGACTTCCTGGTTTTGGGTATGCATGCATCTATCGGAAACGGGTTGCCGGTCATTCGGAACGCACGTCCGCTTCGAAGCCTCCTCCTATTCTATGAAAATTACACCGACAGAATAGAGTAGATGGCGTCGTTTTAATTAGATCTTTTGTCGGGACGAACGATCCCAGCTAATAAAGTTGCACTCGCATTCGAAGAGGAGAAGATCGAATGTGACTCCTCGGGCCGATGGAGCACGACATCTAAATATCATCATCCCATTTCACATATAAATTACTGTAATAATATGGTTTCCTTAATGTAATTGTTGTTGCGGATCTTCGCTGTTGTTGTTTAGGTACCATTTTTGCGAATGCTGTTGCATCACGGCGTTTTCACTTTTCCCATGCACATACTACTATTTTATGGCCCAAAACATTTTCGATTTGCACTTTTGGAGAATTACATAACGTCCTGCAGTGGCTGCTTTCAACTCCTCTTCTTAGCGTTCGCGTCGCACTATATATAGACATAGTCTGCTACGTCGAGTTCTTCTTCTTTTCCATCATCGTCGACATTTCATTCTATTCCCTATTGCGTGCGAATGCCATTCATTACCATTGAAACTCGCGTCGTTTTTCGCAGAAACATTACTACTCGATTCTGTGAACTTGAACTGCTGTTGTTGTTGCTCGTCTCGAGAACTAGAAGACTCGATCGGATGTCGAACATTGGCAAAATCATCGTTTCGTAAATCAAATGCATCGGTCAATTTGATGATAAAGATATAGAGGCTATTGGAAATTTTCTAGATTGACAACAACCACCATAATATCGCCAACGGCACATTAGTAAGGAGTAACTTTCCCATATCCTTGTTCTAATATTGTATGTGTGCATTGAGATTTCAACTTAGGCGGAGAGAAGATACACGCACCCGTCTCTCACGACCTATGATTGTCTTCTCCAATGAAAACCCATACATAGATACCGTTCCTTGCACTAGTAATCTTCGCTATTTTATTATTAATCTTTTAACATTTAGCAGATTTTCCGCCTTAAAACCGAAAGTTACAACAATTCCCTGTTCCCATTTTCACCGTTGCGTCACCGAATCAAATATGTGTTCCTTCCGCCTAACTTCCCAAACATAACCATAATTCATATTTAACTAATTATTTATATTTCGTATTCAATTAATGCATCATATATCAACTGATTGTCACTTCACTAAATAAGAAATTAAGGTTAGTTCCAATTTGTAAAATTCAATTTATGTTAAAAAAAAAAACAGGTGATCTATGCAGCGTTTTTCAATCGTCGGTCTGCGACACTAATATAATTGACTCACGGAGAAACTAATGGAGTAGAGCTATATTTTTTTACAATAGTAATATTGTTACCGGTCCGGGTAAATTTTGGGTTGTGAAACACTGGTATTTGTATAACACACAAATACAACAATACCTCGCACAGTACGATAAAAAATGTCTTTAAAAGGAAACCAAAGTTTGAAATCTCAATATTTGAACAAATAAGTGGAAATTCTTATCTGTAATACCTTTGATAAAAATGTAAACAGATCGATGTTACCAGATAAGAATTGTTATGTAACATTTACGTAGAGATTGTAGGAGAATGTACTATAGATCTGGAATAATTTAATACTGATTTTGTATGTTGAACTTTTATATGCAAAGCCTCAAAAATGAATGATTTTTAAAATTACTATGGAATTGAGGCTATAAATCGGTAACTTAATTCACATATTGAAGTAATATGCGGCCGGAGAGACGTTGATAAAACAAAAACGTCTGTAATAATTCGGTATTGAGGTGAGTGCGAGGAGTTCAAGGCTCGATAAATCTTAATATTCCAAACACACAGCATACAGACACCATACAAATCAACACTATCTTTTTCTCTTTATTTCTGATTCTCACTCACTCTCTTTCTTTATTCGCTTACTCGCACATACAATAATCGTTATACAAGTCGGTAATTGCGAATTCTTTTCGTTATTGGCAAATAGAAGAATTTGGGACAGCCGTAACGGCCGCACGGCACAGCAATCCGTGGAATGTTTCGGTAGCCTCACGCGCGCGGCATTTGCATATGCACTTCGCTTTAAAGCAAAAAAAGGAAAAGTTTAAATGGATTTTGCATTGGGGCTCACCTTCGTCCTATTGAGGGGCACAGAGAAGTCCCAGTCGGGGGCCACAAACAGGTATCCACTTCGGGCTATAGACCGACTGGCCTGGAAAAGAGAGAACAAAAAACAACATTTATTATCATTATTATTGTCATCATCTTATTTGTTACACCCGAAAGTTTTGCTCACTTGATGAAACAATGTAATAGATTGATAATCGATACATTTTGCGATGGAATGTGACCAATTCCAGTAATTGCATTCGCGTATGACATAACTTTCTACTGAAGAATAATTAGTTCCGTAGAAAGTATGTTTCATTCACATTTACTTAAAAATTACGACTAAGTTGCATTCACTTTCAATTTCTATAATAAAAAAAAACTTATATACAAAAAAAGAAACACTTTTACTAATATAATATTTTATATTTACAAAATATAAAGTAAACGTACATGCAATGAAAAATGCATAGTGGCATACATGATCTACAATAGCAAAGACTAATACTCCACAATGAAAGATCTACTAGATCAGCGGTTGCCAAACTTTTTGACCTCACGGACCAGTTAATTCATAATTTAAATCCCGCGGACCACTAATAGGATTTTTTAAGTGTTTAATATATTTATAAAAAAAATGGCCAGTGTGTACAGTATACGACAGAAGTTTTTATAACTTGTCGCGTATTGTTATGAATTGAATCATGTTTTAATGCATCTTAAAACATAACGTAAGTATATTCCACATTTTTCTGCGGACCAGCTAAATTTTCTCGCGGACCACTAGTGGTCCGCGGACCACCACTTTGGCAACCACTGTACTAGATAATCTACGGTAATTAGAGATGTTTAATCCTTTAACACAAATATATTTATTTAAATCAATATTATTAATACTATAAGAAAACAAAATAAAATTATTGTGATACATTTATTTTATCTAAATATTTGTTTCTTGAAACTGAAATTCTATAGTTCATACTAAAGTATATAATAAAATGAAATAACTTTATTATTTTAGTGTAATTATATCTATAGAATAATTAGAAAAACACCAATAAAGAAATTAATAAATAACTCGTAACGCTTTTAGTGAGAATCGCCGAACAATTGCCATTTGACATATATTTCACTTGTTCCATTAACCTCAGGGCCATCTTCATGTTATTTCTGAACAATAATAATAATAATACAGAGAAGAGAAAACAAGTTATTGTATGATTGGAAATTCCAGCATGTGAATTGATTTAGGCGCCTTTAAAATAATGTTATTTAATCAGTGTGTGTGTATTTGTGTGTAAGTGAGAATGGAAGAACAAATCCGCGAGTTGTTAATTAGCGTGTAGCAGGTGAGTTAGATAAGGTATGTGATATGGCCAGGAGGCATTACACGGTGAAACCAATGGCGAGAGAGAGGAATCTGTGTCATGGAAGATCTTTTCAGCCTGGCGCAAATTATTTATCTTCATTTGTGTATGCAGCGAACGATTCCAAACATCGGCTATGCAAACCTCCAATTTTGACGGTTTTTGAAGTCGTGACCATATAAGTATGTAGATGTATCGGATTCATATATATACATCCGGACTAGAAAATCGAAACTTCGCAAAAGTCACCCACTGGTTCGCCTCCAAAAATCCTTGCAGGCGAGCATTCTTGCTTGTTGTTGCCTCTATGTATGGCATATGGCATATCAGACATAATTAACTTCAATAAATATTTATCGCATCACTCAGTATTGATACGATTATATTATAAATTGTATCTATTTTTAATTTGTAAGTTACCATTCTGTACTAAACTCTTGTATTGATTAAAACGTAAATGAAGATTCTTAGAAAGACTAAGAGATATCTAACAATAACAGCAAATATAAAATATATCACGGAATCGTACGGATTTGTGTTTTCGATTTTTTTTTGTAAAATTTAATATTAAATTGGAATATGATAAGCATGTTTCGTTTAGATTTCGAGGAAAACACTATAGCAAAGAACGAGTAAATCAACTAGTAGATAATATAAGTCAGAACCTGGAAAATAAAAAGATACTGTTCAAATATGTTTAAAAAGCATTTCTAAACTAAGTAAAAGAACCAGATTGTCTCATTTTATATTATAAATGTATTCAAACCATCTCAATCTTCTCTAAATATATCTAAAAAATGAATTGGAATAAACTGATTAAAATAGTTTTTTTTATTTGACTTAACAAAGAAGTAATATATTTAAACATGCATTTACATAGATGATAAAAGTAGATAGACCCTACAGATTTAAATAAGAAGATTATCCAAGTAATAAAATTATAATTAAAGGGATTTTCATTTAATGAGATTAATATTTACGTAATAAAAATGTAATTTTACACCGAACATTGACTTTAAAACTTTGCTAGACGCGTAAATATTGTAATTACGAAGATGAACAGACATAAAATGTGTTCGGAGCATTAGATATGAAAATGTATTTACTTATTTCATTTTTTGTTGGTTCTCTTTGCATTTTAACGAGACGCAACGCACGTGCTCTGGTCGATCTTTTCACGTCCCTGCTGTTCACTTCTCTTTAGCACTCAACACTGTCGGAGCAGCCCATCTAGAATTGCGACAGAAATAATCCCACATTGCACATCGACGTGATGACCATAAAATTTAAAATACTTCAAAGAGAGGTTCGCGTGATTGCTCGGGCTTGCAATCATTTGTGTGGTTCAATTCCACCATCATCATCGTCGTCGCCGCACTAAAAATGGAATGGGATGCAATCATCAAACCAAATAAACATTTTTCACTTCCCCAGCTACTTAACGGGAAAATGTTAAACATACCTGACCTAATTTTAGAAGCACACATATTTTTTCTACGCACTTTATTTATACCTTCGTTTTTTTAAGTACTAACATTTGTTTATACAAAGTCATTAAATAAGTAAAGCTAGGAAAGAGGAAGCAGTTTTATCTACAGCATCAATAAATATCCCAATTTCAATTGCGTGTATTTAAGCTGTACTACTCTGAGTAGTAGTAGTATATATATGATTGTGTGAAAAATAAATGGAAGCAGAGAGCAAAAAAAAGAACAAACCTTCATGACTCAAAATTAATACACGCCGAAAGGAATTCCTAGAACGAATCGCCGCGAATATATTTTATCTAATTTATTTGTATTTCTCTTCGTTGTTTTTTTCTACTTCGTCTGCAATTACCGCGATTTTTGTTTGTCAGTTAACTTTTCCACAGAGATCGCTTCTCCAAATCACTTCTAAACATGCAATCTATTACGAGGCCACAGTATGTTCGATGGTCGCTTCGGATTTTATTTTTCACTTTGCTTTGCTGCACGGCAACGGAAATCCAAATAAAATAAGTAGAGGAGGAGAGACCGTCCGTTTCAATGACAAAAAGCGGACGGCAGCAAACAACAACAAATAAAAAAAAAAGTACAAAATACGCACACAGCACTCGTTGTAGGCATCATGACGAATTTGTAAATAATGTTCATTAAAAACATCTTTAATTATAATTTTTTGTTATTATTTACAATTGTATGTTGTTACTTGAAACTTATGGCAATATTTATATTTATTGAAAACATATTCGTGTTAATGCAATTGAGACAGCTACATTTTGTATTATGTTTAGATTTTATTTCTGCTTTTAAATGGGCTATAAAACTTACATTGTTTTTTTATTGCTTAAATTTAGAACTAATAACATTCGTATCGCATTGCAATAAATTGAATACTGAAGAACACTGCGTTAGATATGAGTAATGAAAAAAAAAATATATCGGTAGCTCGAATAAATGTATCCTCTTATATAAATGTATATACATACAATACATTTAATACAATCTAGTTAATCTAACAAAAAGTATATAACAGTTGCTTCACTTTCGAGTGAAGCTATTACTGCATTAAAATGTGCATTTCTCCTACAGTAGTATGTTTGTTCGATAGAGCTGAATGGTGTTTTCTGTTGATTCCGTTACGCCAACAGGTAATTAATAGGAAAAACGATGCGACTAAAATAATTTAAATAATCACCGTAAATGTAAATACACGTTCGAATTTAGATCCTCTTCCACTCGCGCCTATTATTAATGTATTTGCAGGTGATCATTTTTTTTAAATTCCCTAATGAATTTTCCAATAAATTCTCGTTTATAACTCAGCTCAGTGAGAAATTCTCGCGATTCGTTTTTATTTTACCCATTTAAGGCCGCTTAATGACGAGATGCCGCGTAATAAATTAATTATTCTTTTGTTTATACCATCCGCTGCGATGCCCTTAAACGATGACCACTCGCTGCATTCGCAGCCTTTCAACTCAAATTACAGAATCGTTCCGCCGCTTCCGTGTACTTATTCTAGTCAATTCAAAAAATGTTATCCGATATTGACATTCCTTTTTTTGCAAGAAATATTATTAGATCCAATCAAATCTGGTTTGCAAATGAGACACGAAAATATAAATAAATTCAACATTATTCATATCAGATTCTCATTTGCTATTGCATAATGAGAATTGCCAAGCCATGTACAATGTCAAAAAAACTCGCAACATAACAAACCTTCATTAAGTATATTATCAAAAGTAAGTTTATTATAACCAATAATATATGAAAATGATCTTCATTAGAATATCAGATTGAATTTAGAGTAAAACATGACACGAATTGTCTAACACAGTCATTTTCAAATGCCACAAGATGATCTTAGGTGTCCCGAAATTTGTTAAAGAACATTAATTCAATTATTTTCTTACGAAATCCAACACACAATAAGTGTACAAATAATCATAATTCAAATGTGCCGTAAGATAAAAAAAAAAGTTTGAAAAACTCTGGTCTAATAGACAATCAGATTTTACAGGTACTCAGGTAGAATAAACTAAAACTTTAATATTACATTTCATATAGAAACATGATTACCGATTAGTTAATATGAAATGGAAGTTGTGCAAACAACACCTAATAAAAAAATATATTTTAAATACCATCGATGAAAAAGAGGTAATCAAAAGATTGATAAGGAAATATAAAAATGTGTAGACAGTTAATCTGTTAGACAATAGACTAACTGGATTTTCACCGTATTGTAA